TCCCAGTGCCCATGTCAAGAGGCTTACAACCCTCCATTACTCCAGCTCCAGAGAATCTGAGGACTCTGGCATTTATGGGCACTTACTCTCACATACCCACATGCAGGCACTCATACCTACATATAATTAAAAAAATACAAAGAAGCCTTTTAAAATAGAATTAAATTTGATTCAACTAATTTCTTGAATGAAGTCTTATAAAATGAAAACTATAAACACAAGTCAAAGTCCATGAAGAATGTTTGAAATCCATTCTTAGAACCTTAATTAAAATAAGAGTTGGTATCTAGCCATTGATATTTTACTAACAAAGCCAGGATTCATTCAAATGTGCAACTTGCTCTGTACATGGTGTTAACATAGCAAGTTTTGTCTTGTTTTTTGAGACAGGGTTTCTCTGTGTAGTCCTGGCTGTCCTGGAACTCACTCTGTAGACCAGGATGGCCTTGAACTCAGAGATTTGCCTGCCTATGCCTCCGAGTTCTGGGTTTAAAAAGGTGTATACCACCACTGCCCAACTGTAACTTAGCAGTTTTAATTTGAAAACATTTCTTAATTTTTTATGGTTACTTAGAAAACATCAGTAAATGTTTTCCTCTTGGAAATAGCACTCTTTTTAGCAGAATTCATTTAAGTCCTACATAAAAATATTACAAATGTAAAAACTGTAGCTCTCATAATATATTTTAGATGTTTTCATTTTATTTTTATTTGTGTACATATGTGTGTGTGTGTCAGTGTGTGTATGTATGGGTGTGTCAGTGTGTATGTGTTTGGTGTTTATATGTGTGTATGTATATGTATGTATGTGTGTATGTGTATATGTGTGTGTGTATGTATGTATGTGTGTGAGTATGTATGTGTATGTGCATGTGTGTGAGTGTGTGGGGGAGCATATGTATTCAGATGTCTATGGAGGCCACAGAAAGGTTTCAGATTCCACAGATGCTGATGTTACAGGTTGTGAGTGAGGAATATGGATGCCAGAAGTTGAACGCAGGTCCTTTGCAAGAGCAGTAAGTGCTTTTGACTGCTGAGCCATCTCTCCAGCTCTATGTAGTAGTTGAATAAAATTACCCCCAATAGGCTCATAGATTTGAATACTTGGTGGCCAGTTGGTGGACCTGTTTGGGAAGAATTAGGGGGTATGGTCTTGTTTGAGGAGATGTGCCCTGGGGGTTGGCTTTGAGTTTTCAAAAGCCCAAGCCATTTCCACTTAGCCCTCTCTCAGCCTTGTGGTAGTAAGAGGACCAGGCAGATGCTGCAACAGGCTGCTCAGTCTTCTCTTAGAGATCAGGCCTCAATTTCCATTTCCTGAGACTGAGCAAGCAGTTTCTGAGGAAGAGCCACAAAAAAAGGGCAATCAATCTCCAACACCCCCGACAGCAAGGAGGCCTGGTGGCCTAAGCCATAAACAGCTTAAGATGATAACCAAATAAGGACAAAGCCTGGGACTTGCCAAGACCTGTTCCAAAATGGAAAACTGTAGCCCTGACCAACCCTTAACTAACACCAACCAACTAGAAGTTACTAACGTGATTACCACTCACAATAGCCAATCACATCTAAGATGAACTAACTTCCTTGGACAGTCCCCTTAATTAGGCTTAAAAGGAGCCCCCACTTTCCTCTTTGGGTCTTTATCATCTTGCCTTTGTGTATGATGGCAGGCCCCAGCATGCTGGAATAATAAACACTCTTGTTGATTGCATATGTGGATGGTGGTCTTTTGCAGGACTTCTCCAGGACCCTAACAGTAGTTGTCTCAACATGTCTCTCAGCTATTGCTGCAGCACCAGGCCTGCTTGCCTGCTGCCATGTTCCATACCATGGTGGTCAGGAACTCACCTTTTGAATCTAAGACAAATTCTTTCTTCTATAAATTGCTTTGGTCATGATTTCTCTTCACAGCAACAGAAAAGTAACTAAGATGCTCCATATGCCAGATTTTAATAAACAAAAAAATAAATAAATGCAGCAAGAAAGCATATACCTTGGAGCAAAAGAAACAACAAACAAAAACTCTTCTTAGGAAAGTAATTTTACCACTGGGTCTGAACCTGTAACTCAAAACAACATTAAAATAAAACAAGTAGTAGGTTAGCAGCCAAGAGTTTGTTTAAACTTAAAATGCCACCCTTCACTGATTAGATTAACTTTTCCAAATTACAAAGTTTTATGATACAAATCCAATATATGACTGGTTCTTACAGGGACTCAGACATAATAAAGCATGGCCATTTGTTAACTGTGGATGGCAGCCAGGAAACTGTGTAGTGGTATAAAGGGCACTTTCACTGTCAGCACAAGATAACATTGCTGAAATGCCAAAGATGAGGCACAGTTAAGTGGGCTGGTGGAACAGAATGATGTGAGGTTGCTTTCCACTTGCCTTAGTACATGCTGTTATAGTTTGTATGTTGTAAAAGCCTGGTGCACAGCTGAAGTTTTACACAGTCTAAAATGTCACAGTAAATTTTTTTAAATTTTCATCTAATATCTAAACACCATCTGCATAGGAATTGTTTCAGGCCAATGTTGGGACTTTTTCTTTGTTAGTTTAAATTACATTATGACTTTAAATTAAATTTATTGAGTAATATGTAGTACCTATTTAAGAAGATATAGTCAGTAGTTTGACATTTAACTGCATATTCAGTTGTTTATTCAAACTATTGAATTTGATCACTATACTAGACCCTGGGATATAATAATGAACTTAGTAATGAGGAATACCAATAGAAGAGGGAGGGAGAGAAGGGGAGAAAGTAACACACACACACACACACACACACACACACACACATACACACACACACACACACAGAGAGAGAGAGAGAGAGAGAGAGAGAGAGAGAGAGAGAGAGAGAGAGAGAGAGAGAGAGAGAATGACAGGTTTTAAAAACTAAGTTCTAATCCAGTACCAATGCAATGATTAATGACTCACATACCCACCATTTATTATTACTATATAAACACTGTGGTAGAACTTCAAATTTTATTTTATTTAGTTTTAGTAACAATCCTACAATGTTATCTAATTATAGTGTTTTTGTCACTTAAGAGCCAAAGAGAACTTTGTTTCCTTCTTATTAAGTTCAATGGCTGATGCCACTAGAAAGTGTTCTAGTGCTGATGCCACTTAAACCTGCTAGGTTATGGTTTCCCTGAGAGTCTACAGAACCAAGCTTGCTGAGCATGTGCACCCGAGCTGCTTGACTTCACACGAATCATTTCTCAAATGGTGACTTTTTTAATGGGAAGTTTGAGAATCTTCTCTTCATAACTTCTTTTGCTATTTCATGATATGCAGGTGTGTGTCCTTTTTTTCAAGTCCAGTTATACTCAGTGAGCCCTTTGGATGCCTCTTATAGGGAGGTTTCCTTACCATTTCAGAGGCTGAGCAGGGTGTTAGCAAGCACAGGCACTGGAACCAGCTGCCTGCTGTGCCAATCATCTGCTGTATGGCCTTCAGCAAGTTACTTAAATTCTGTACTAGCTGAAGGAGCCATCCTGAAAAATGCTGCTCTCATATATTGATTATTGTAATAGAGCCTGAGAAACAATAGATTGTATGGAAATCAGTATGGAAGTGTGAGGAAAATTAAAAATGGAGCATTTACTCAAAGTTTTCTAAATCAGCACACCACAGAGACTCTTGCATATCCATGTTTATTGCTGCACATTCACAATAATCAGGAAATAATTGAACCCATCTAGCTATTATAGATGAATGCGTGATGAAGGTGTGGTACATACACACAAAGGAACATTATGCAGCCATGAAGAAAAATGAAATCATGACATTTGCAGCAAAGTGGATGGTATAGAAATCATAGAGTGAAGCAAGCCAAACTGAGAAAGACAAACACCTTGTGCTTTCTTTCATATGAGAAACTCAAATTTAAATTTTATATGCATGAGAGAATGACTGTGCATTATGTATGTAGATCATAAAATTAGAAAGGGGATCATAAAAGGAGAGATCTTAAGGGAAGGAGTGGAGAAGGTAATGGAATGGTTGAAAGCAAGGTGGGGACTATGTGGGAGAAAGGGAACTGGCTGGGGGGAGTAAAGGGGGAGGAGGGAAGCAAAAGAGACTAATTAGACAAATGCCATCATGAAACCCTTGATGTTGTATGAATGGATGTAAGAAAAACATTTTGAGCTTCCTTACACAGATTAATAAATATTTTCAGTCTAAAATGATTTTACCTGAAAATATCATTATAGTTAACTGAGTCACATTTTTTAAAACCATAATGCTAGTAAGAGTCAATAAAAGATTCCTTTTAGAGATCTTTAATTGACCTCTGTGATTTGGTCAATAAGTTGAAGATATATTTTCTATATATCTATGCAGAAAACAGAAAGTGATCACATGTAGTGTGAGATCAGATTCCAATGTATAAGAGGTCCTTTCTCTACCAGAAGGAAAGTCTAGGCTCCAGTAGTCTTCATTTAAAAAAAAAGAGTCCTCTATTATTTATACATATGTGTGTGCCTTTGTGAGTTTATGTGCCCCATGGCAGGGAAGGCATGTAGTCACACTGCATTGACAATTAGGAGGCAGACAGAGAAAACAAGAAGTTGGGTTGGGCTATCCTAAGGGGTGGGGTGTCCACATCCTGAAGGTTTTACAAACACATCAAGTGTTCAAACACAAAAGCTTATGAGGGACATTCCACCCCACAGCAACCAGCACCCCTCAGAGTAGACTTTCAGATTCTGCCATTTAGGGCTAGATGCTATTTTAATAGTTAAAGTTTTTAGAATTTGGTGGCAAAACTGAAGTTTCTGACTTTGAAGCTGTTGTAACTAATGCACAGTGTCTGGAGATCTGCTATCCACTGGAAAGTCTTTCAGAGGGTTATGTTGTCCATGTATTTTCAACTCCTGTAGAGAAGTCATTTTCTCAGAAGATGCCCACACATCTAATATATATTAACTCAACAGCAGAAAAGTGAGTAATAAAAAAGTTTTACCATGGCTGACATTACCTATTCCACAAGAAGGCTTTCGCATCCTGTTGTGTTTGACTGGCAAAACCAGCGGGCACGCTGGCTTTTGAAAATCACTCCTCTGGGTGCTGTTGGTGTCATAAGATGGTTGGGAGACAGGTTCTCCTGCTTCACTATGTAACCACCATTTTCTCTACATAGAAAACAAATGGAAACACACTGTTAAATAATGATAGAAATTTTCATTTGATGCTTAAAGTTTATCAATATTCAGTGATTTAATGAAACAAAGTATTAGTCTAGAATTAAAATATTAATTCACTTTTTATGTGTATGGTGTATGTGTGTGTGTGCATGTGTATATGTGTATACATACGGAGAACATGACATTGGGTGTCTTCTTCTGTTGCACTTCCATTTTATTTATTGAGACAGGGTCTGCCACTGAACCTGGAGCTCACTAATGCTGCTATACTGGCTGGCTAATGAGCTTCAGGAATCTGCCCATATCTGCTTCCTCCTCCCATCCCTTTTCTGTCCTGGCCCCCAGTGCTGAGATTACAGACATGCCCATCTTAGAGATCCAAGCTCTGGTTCTCATGGTAACACAGTGAGCACTTTACTGAGACTATCCCCTGGGATTCTTAAATATAGAAGTAAATGTTTTCACAAGGACACTAGCTTGTAAATGGTATCTAAAAACAGTCATATATTTTAGTTAAACTATATCTGCTCAATTATTACACTACTTTCTAGTAATAGAGCCATAAAAATTAATATAGTAGTTATATTTGTTCTTAATTCCTTATACTTATTTTATTTATAGACTATGTACACATATGTTAAACATGATTTAATCTAAAATTATATTCTTTTCTTTTTATTATTGCAAAACAAATAATGTACTGTCTAAAACGATATTTTGCAAACTTGCTAGTCCATAGCCCACCCTACATCATGGAATACATTTTAAATCCTACAAGAGCATATAATGCTATACATATATAAAAGTGAAACACAACTGTCATGAAATTTTTGTTATGATTATTGCAGGACACTTTCTATTTTACTGCTTTCTCTTCTATTTCATGTCACAATTCTGAGCATAACTCACACTGATTTATAATTCATAAACCTGTAAATTTTTCAAAAAAAAACTGCCCTAAGGGAAACTATCTCCAATGTTACTAAAATGTCAGTACTAAATGCTGTGTAGAAAAGAGAACTGATGGATTCTTAGCATCTGTGGCCTTTCAACCCTTAGAAATTGAGAGAGCAATGAACTGTTAGTCAACTCTGACGAAAACACTAAAACTGCTTGATCGAGGAGGAAAGGCTTGAAGGAAGGCAACTCCACACCTGGAAGTTCGGGATCTGATTAGGGTTCAATGTAATCTTGGGTGTAAGAAATTAAATGTTGGATTGGTGAGAAGGCTCAGCAAGTGAAAACACTTGCCAAGTGTGGAGTTTAAGAGAAAAATGTCCCACACAGACTCAGGAATTTGAATAGTTGGTCCTCAGTTGGTGGTGCCTTTTGGGGAGGCTTAGGAGGCACTGCCTTCCTGCAGGTGGTCCTGCTTGCTCTCTCTGCTTTGTGCTTTCCTTTGAAGATGCAGGCTCTCAGTTCCATGCTCCTGCTGCCATTCCTGCCACTGGCTGCCCTGCTTCCCTGCCCACAATAGGCTCTTATCTCTCTGGAACCATAAACCAAAATAAACTTTCATAAGTCACTTTTGGTTGTGGTGTTTTGTCACAGCAACAGAAACCAAGCAACCCTGGCAACCCGAGTTGGATCCCCAGAGCTCACAGTGGAGGGATAGAACTGGCTTTTGAAAGTTGCCCTCTGATCTCCACACATGCATTACAACACACCAACCTGCTCACACATACAAATAATAAAAATAAATGTCTTTAAAAATCAGCTATGAGTCTATAGTAAAAGATGTCTATGATTTAAGAGGAATGAACATGTGATTATAATAATTCTGACAATTAAGGCTCCACTGATACAAAGGAAGAGACATTTCTAGGCCCATCCCATGTAGCTGCACAGGAGTCTGCTCTCAAATAAGCTTAGCTTCTAAAAGGACAAGTATGTGTGAAAGAAGAGCATATTCAGAATACAGTCTAACAGGGTCAACTTGACAGACATTGTTGAGAAGTTTAGAAATAGAATAAAATTGTGAAAATGCTGAAGACAGAATAAATATTATTTTTGAGGGATGGGAAGCAAGAAATCAAGAAAGTGTAACAATATTGAAGGGAGCACTGTTCCAAGCTGAAGTCATAGCTACTAAGATCCAGGTGGTTTGTGAAGAGATAGTCTTAGACTGGAAAAGATGGGATGCACATATACCAGAGGATCAAGACCTGAACAGGACACAAGGGAAACAGATCTCAGTTTATTAAATCAGCACCAGTTTTAGGCCAACAACTTGTAGCCAATAGTAATGAAATGATGGGCAACTGTAAATACATTTCACAGAAACTGAGGAACTAGGAAATTCAGGACAATAGACTTTCAGTCTATTGTCTTATTTCATTGACTAATGTCTTATATTTCCAGGATTAACTAAAACATGGACTTTAAGTCAAGAATGCTTGGTATAGGTCTTAAGAAAATACTAGAACAGATTACAAACAGATGGTGTCTTCTCACTATCTGGCTAAAAAATAGTCATTTGCTACTGGTCTTGGACTTCCTGCTTTCTCCTCCATCCCATAATTATGACAGTGCTTATTATGCCCAAACTCTAGAATATATATGCCTTATTTTACTTACAGTCAGCACAATTCTGAGGTGGGTGCATCCCTTTACAGATGAGAAAAGTACAGAGAGAATAAGAAATACAGGTACAGCCGTCAGCCAACAGCCACCATCTGTACGTACCCTCAATTCTGTGCTTACCCACATCATCTCAAAGCACTAAGTGTCTTAGTCTGTGTTGCTGGACCATCATTGATAGGTAATTTATAATGTGTTTAAGTTTATTGGCTTTCAATTCTGGAGCCTATGAAGTGTAAGAAGAAGAGAGTCAGGTGAAAGGAAGGCTGAGAAGGCCAGCCTTGCCCTTGAAGACAGACTGGGCCTACCCATGAAGGCAATGCCTCTCAACATTGACAGTGACATTTAAACTTCAACATACATTTTAGAGGAGACATACTTTGAAACCATAACTGTAACTATCCTGAGGAAGTTTTCCTATAAAAAGATTGTAAGGCAGATAGTTATATCATCTACTTTGGGTGAGCAGAAACTTACTTTGCTAGTACTTATTTTGCTAGTGATTCTGGGCAAAGGATCCATTAGGGAATGTCTGAGGCTTTCATGTTTATCACTAGAGCATAATGCAAGCAGAGATCATGAGTTCACCTTCAAGCAAAATTCCTAAAGAATTTTACCAAAATCCTCTCTTTAATTTCACAAATATAGAGGAAATAATGAACACTTTTTCCTAATGTCTGATTGGTAAATTAAGACTCTTTAGAGTGCTTTCAATATTACTAAACACTAGTTGCATCTTCTCTTCAGTGGTACCTTCGTTACTTTCCTGTTTTGTTGAACTCTCTTCCCTATACCTGCAAAGTGTGGTCATGAGAACATGTATGTACCTGTGTATGTGTGCATGCCTTTTGGTCCAGGTAAAAGGTAATAGCAAACATCACTGTTCCATGGCCCACTCTAACCTTGCATTGCTTGTCTTTGGTATAGAATTATTTTATGGCAAAGTAAACCTAACTGGGAAATGTTGCAGAGTGGGCCAGCTTTGTTTAGGCTTTGTAGAGCAGGCTGTGTTTTGCAGGTTGTAAAGGGGATACTGCCTAAAAGAGTTGTTCCTCATCTGAAGCTTTGAGTGCTAAAAGGAAGCTCTCTCTCTTAGTCTAAGGCCTACCTCCTCTTAGGCCCCAGGATGCTAGTGCCTGGGGCTCTGTTTTGGGGAAATACGGACATATTCTTGATGATAAAAATCTCTCTAACCTCTGACTCTGGAAAACTTGATTGTTGCCTTGTGGGTCCAGTGGTCACATTTAGAAATCAGTCTAAGGAGATTACTGTTATAAAATACTGTGCTAATATATGTTACATGTTATCCCCAAGCTTTCAGATATGTTTTAGTAAACATTACTATCTTCCATTCCCTTGGTAAATCATAGGATTTTCCTCAGACAATAAGTGGTAAAAGCAAGACGAACATTCTAGAGAAACTAGTTGAGTGAATGCAAGAGGCTGTAGGCCTAGAAGCAGAACTGTAGCCACAGCTGCCTAAGACCACTGGTGGTGACAAAAGCCAGGTGGGGCAGGTTGTTGTGGTGCAACCCTTTAATCCCAGCACACAGGAGGCAAGGCCAGGCACATTTCTGTGAGTTCAAGGCCAGCCAGCCAGAACTACACAGCAATTTCCTGTCTAAAACAACAAAACCACCACCACCACCACCACCACCACCACCACCACCACCACCACCACCATATTCTGGGGTTCTTAAGGACATGGATTTCTGACAAAACCTTAAAAAGTCCATGGAATTTAATTGTAGAACTCAGTGTCTTTTTAAAAAAATGGACATTTTATCACAAACACCAGACAGCCAAGGTCATGTGAGGTACAATGTTCTCAAACTGTAGATACCAGGATATGGAAAAATAGCTTTTTAAAAGCAACTCTTAATGTCTCCTGTAACAGTTGCTTGTAATTTGTGTTCTGTGGAACCCCAGTTCTCTAATGTGTTTATTAATATAAGTTATGCAGAAGGAGTTCCCATAGAGAAAGCTATCTGGGAAATGGTAAGCATTTTCAAGCAAGTTCAAAGACACTTATCACAAGATTTCTTAGAAATTAGGGCATTTGCAAGTTCATTGTTGCTTTGTTTTTGTTTTTGAAATGTAAATGTTCCCTTCCCTGTGCATGCCAGTCCCTCTTTAGGGTGGTGCATCTCTCTCATCTGTGCTTTACTCCATTTCAGACTTACTTTGCCAGGGTCTTACTGGTCTAGCACCAACAAACAGTGAGTATACTGCACCTGCCAGCTAGCTTTGCTGATAGCATGTCCTAACATTTGTGTTGTTGTTTTTCACAATACCTGTAAACTAGAGTAAATTATTTGGGATTAATTTTTTCAAGCTTCTACTTTTCTATTTTCTGACCCACCTTTGTTCTCTTAGTGTCTCCACTGTATGTGTGTGTGTGTGTGTGT